AAGAAAGCATTTTTCAACTCAAGACCATAAAATGAACAGCACCAGAGATGTGTAACCGTACGCTTCCTTACGCTCGCCCCCGCCTACAACGGCAACGCGCTGGTGTTCAGATACAGACTATGGCGGCGTGGTGTTTTCTCACCACACAATCTCACGCTGCTGTGTGAGACACCTGTAAATCAAGTGCTCCCGTGTCCGCAAGAAGGAATGGAAAGGATTGTGTGCCAACTACAGGCTAGGCACGGTGCTAAACGTTTTATGTGAGCTCACATACCCCAGAATAATCACCGGAGGTGATGATTTGATCCCCATTTTACAGATGCGGAAGTTCACACAGCTAATAAACGTCAGCGCCAGTTTTCAAACTCAGGCGCGTTTGGGCCTTTGCATCATGCCACTTATTGAGGCCGAGGGCCTCCTAAGAACCCTAAGTGAGTTTCAAGGAGAGGGAAAGAATTCCCTCTTCTGGAAAAGCTTCCAAAAGTAGGTGTGTTAAGGAACAAGGGATTGAGCCCTAACCCCAAATAACGTGACTTCCCCAAATTCCCGCATTTGGTACAGCTGCATCTGAACTTGAGCTTCAGCTCGGTCGGTAGCCACAGTTGCTTCCTGACAGGCAGACAGTCCACTAGCTCCATACCATGGAGGCTCCCAGTGTGAATCTGAACTTCAATTTAGATGTGCGTTCCCTTGGCTTTTACTGTATGCATAAAAGTTCCTACATTTAAATTTTTTTTTTTTTTAATTTAAGTACGCTCCATGCCCAAAGCAAGGCTTGAACTCACCACCCTGAGATCAAGAATTGCTGGCTCTACTGACTGAGCCAGCCAGGCGTGCCACTACATTGAAATGTGTATAGCTGACGAATAAGTGATAAAAAATGTAGAAGGGCTTCAGTTCTTTGATCATCTTCTTTTAATTTTTTTAATGTTTATTTATTATTCTTGAGAGAGACAGAGAGAGAGAGAGAGCATGTGAGCAGAGGAGGGGCAGAGAGAGAAGACAAAGAATTTGAAGCAGGCTCCAGGCTCCGAGCTGTCAGCACAGAGCCCATCGCAGGGCTCAAACTCACTGACCATGAGACCGATCATGACCTGAGCTGAAGTCGGACGCCCAACCGACTGAGCCACCCAGGTGCCCCTGATCAACTTCTGATAATAACTTAGACTTTTAATAATGTTCTCAATCATTAGGGAGAGGTTATTTTAATTTCTTCAGGGTGTATTTCATTCCTTCCCCCAGATTACACTTCTGTATTTCATCCAGAGATCAGAAGGCTGACCATATTGGACTAGTAAATTGCCTGTTTTCACCGATTGTACTTTGTGTAAACCGCAGGATGTAGGCTCAAGTAATCCTGACCTCTAGCCAGATGATCCAAAGCACACACACGCATTTCTAATATAAACCTTTCTCATTTTCTTTAGAGTAACTCTGTGGACAGAAGATATAATAGACCTTTAATACGGAAAGCCAGAATGGTATAGCAGAAAAGCTATGAGTTTGGGGGCCAGACAGTTTGAATATCGCTTGCACCTCCCGCCAGCAATGATCCTGAGAAAATTACCCCACCTCACTGGGCTTCAGTAGCCTCATTTATAAAATGGATATAACCACATAGGTGATACATAGGGACAAAAGCAAGGCAGCCCTAAGATGCGATTGCTTTCAGACTGAGATTAGGAAAAAATCATGTTGTAATGGCTGGCAGGTCATGTATAGAAATGACACAAGCTGAGCACAATTTGTAAATGTTTGAAGAAATTTGAGACCTAATCCCCAATAATGTGATTAGGGCTTGGTCTCAAGAAAGCACATCTAAAGCTTTAAGAAATAAGTCATTTACACCAAATCAAGTATGATCGAAGCCGACTCAAAAATATGAGATATTGCCTTAAAAAAATAAAAAGAGAAATGCATAAATCTATATAGTCTTAAAAGGCTTTCCCTAGAAAAGGAAAGCCCCCAAGTTAATCTTTCGATGAAACACCTGTAATACTGTCCAGGACTAAGAGTACCCAGCCCATGAATATAAACATCTGGTCCATGGGCAAGCAGAGGACTAGAGGGCCATGAATATCATGTTTTAATACCCACTTCCTTTTGCTCTGGGGTCCTAGGCTCACCAACAAACTTCCTATTTATGCTATTCTATTTCTATTTGCTTTCTCATATATCGTTATCACAGGCAGATGTGCTAACCAGCTAACATGAATGGTGTGGTCCCTGGCACTCATATTTTTCCATGTAAATTAATAAATCGGTATTCTGGTTTATACATTGGACCCTTAGGGGTTTGCTCAATATAAACCGATCTCCCTTTGGTATAGTCACAGAATTAAAATTCGGAAGCACAGGACCACCGTTGGTCTGGGCTCAGGTTATGATCTCATGGTTTTGTGAGTTCGAGCCCCGCATGGGGTTCCATGCTGACAGTGCAGAGCCTCCTTGGGATTCTCTGCCTCCCTCTCTCTCTGCCCCTTCCCCACTCGCACTCTCTCTGCCTCTCTCAAAATAAATAAATAAATCTTAAAAAATAAATAAATAAAATAAACTCTGAAGCAAAATTTTAAAATATTGACAGAAACCTAGCACTGCTGAGTATGTGAGGAAACAGCACATCCTCGGGCCAGCAACTTCTCTGGACAAGAATTTGGCAATGTGTTCTCGAAATCTGCACACCCTTTTACCTACATAATCCTGGTGCTGGGAATTGAACTTTAGGAAATAATCACACAAGAAGAAACATAAGAATGTTCATCAAACCACCGTTTCTAAATTAAAAATTAGACATTTGGGTTGTTTTTCTCAATGAAGCAATAAATAAGTCAATCATGGCCTACACATTAAATGTAGTATGCAGCAAATTAAAAAAAGGATGGGGGGGCGCCTGGGTGGCTCAGTCGGTTGGGTGTCCGACTTCAGCTCGGGTCACAATCTCACTTTTTGTGGGTTCAAGCCCCGCGTCGGGCTCTGTGCTGACAGCTCAGAGCCTGGAGCCTGCTTCGGATTCTGTGTCTCCCTCTCTCTCTGCCCCTCCCCCGCTCATTCTCTCCCTCTCTCTCTCTCTCTCTCTCTCTCTCTCTCTCTGTGTGT